CCAGGCTGGGGATTTGAACCCGCCACCTTAGGTGTATGTGGCTGGTGCCTTAGCCGCTTGAGCCACAGGCGCCGAGCCCAGATATATTTTAGAATTGAGAATTTTGTCGATTTAGTAAGATGATAGGATTCATATATCACACATTACACTACTATTCATAATCACATTTATATTTCTGTAGTGAAATGTATGCACATTTATAATAAGTCAGTTAAAGAAAGATGTTATATAGCTTCATATCACTTCAGGTCAGTTCTTGTTCTCAAGTTAGTTCAATTCCTAGCTTAATGAAAAAAGAGCCATTGGTATTTAGAGCTTTTGGATTTCAAAATTATAGATAAGGGAATGTGGCCAAGGGACTGTATTTTCTGTTTGGTTCCAGACTTTGTTCTAGGCTCCCTGTAGCAGTCAGGTTTTCCCCTGACATGCCCCACTGCCCTAACTTTTTCTAGCTTTGCTTTCACTGTGGTAAAAATGACAAACAATAGTGGCAGCAACTATTACTTATATATAGTGTGTACTGCATGCAGGAACTGGTCTAAGCATTTTACCTGAACTCATTTAACCCAGTATACCAGGAAAAATAGTTTTTACTATAGTTTTTATATTTTACTATTTACCATGTGGGGCAGTGGATCCTTTTTTTAATATATATTTTTAAGTAATTTTGTGAATAATTTACAGAAGAATCAAATACTAGTAAAAAACACCTTTTTAAAATAAAATATAATATATAAAGTATATTTTAATGTATAAACATCATAAAAGGTAAAAGAATGCTGTCATATAGTACTAGTACTATTCTTTTAGCAAAATGGGGTGGTCCAGGATCTTTTTGCAAAATACTGTGTAATGAAGTCCTAAAGTCTTCCCTGCTGAGTGACTCATTGGATGAGAATGCCATATTTCCCTTTTAAAATTAGAAATATGTTATTTGGGCCAGGCAAGGTGGCTCACACCTATAATCCTAGCACTCTGGGAGGCCAAGGTGGGTGGATTGCCTGAGCTCATAGGTTCAAGACCAGCCTGAGCCGGAGTGAGACCCCATCTCTAAAAATAGCCAGGTGTTGCTGAGAGGCTGAAGCAAGAGAATTGCTTAAGCCCAAGAGTTTGAGGTTATTGTGAGCTATGACTCCAGGGCACTATACCGAGGGTGACAAAGTAAGACTCTGTTTAAAAAAAAAAAGAAATATATTATTCACAATTGACTACTGAGTTTGAGAAAATCTACCTAGGATGTTATTTGAAGATTCATTCTAAGATCTCTCTTATCCTTTCAGCCTCATCATTATTATTATCCTTAGAGACCACCACTGTCTGTGTCATCTTCTGAATTGCCTGATAATGATGAATATCATCCCCTGCAAATTTTCTTCTCTTTCCCACGTAGGCAACAAATTAAAAATTCTGAATTCCCAACTGTGTCCAATGAAAGCTAGATGTAGGTGTCAACTACAGTCTTTCCTACTTTCTTGAAGAATGCTGTGATAATTTGGGCAACATATTCAGTATTTTGAGACTATTGAAAAATGATTTTATTTCCATGATCCTCTATATTTTCTTTTCTTTTCTTTCTTTTTTTTTGAGACAGTCTCACTTGGTTATCCTTGGTAGAGTGCTGTGGCGTCTTAGCTCACAGCAATGTCAAATTCTTGGGTTCAAGTGATCCTCTTGCCTCAGCCTCCCGAGTAGCTGGGATTACAGGTGCCTGCCACAACACCCAGCTATTTTTTAGAGATGGGGTCTTGCTCTGGCTCAGGTTGGTCTTGAACTCCTGAGTTCAGGCAATCCACCCACCTCGGCCTCCCAAGTGCTGGCATTACCCAATTGCCGTGAGCCACCATGCCTGGCCGTATTTTCTTTATTCCCCCATTTTATTAGTCTTTTTTGGCATTTTGGGGAATAATTAATGAATAATGATTAATAATCATGAAATAATGATGAAATAGAAAAATCCCTCAGGGTTTATGAAAAACAAGATAATACAGATTCTAAACTGTATCTTACATTTGTACAAGTGTCTGATGGATCTGTATAGAAATTACAACATAAAAGCCGGGCATGGTGACTCATACCTGTAATCCTAGCACTCTGACAGGCTAATGTGGGATGATCACTTGGGGTCAGGAGTTTGAGACTAGCCTAAGCAAGAGTGAGACCCCCATCTCTACTAAAAATAGAAAAATTAGCCTGGTATTGTGGCAGATACCCATAGTCCCAACTACTTAGGAAGCTGAGGCAGGAGGATTGCTTAAGCTCAGGAATTTGAGGTTGCAGTGAGCTCAGATGATACCGCTGTTCTCTACCCAGGGTGACAGAGCCTAAAGTCACAAGTAGGTACCTTAATCCCAAACCTTTCAGGTGTTTTCTTTAACCAGTAACCAGCCTAATACTCTTTCCTCCCCCCCAAAAAAAGTCTTGGTGCCTGTAGCACAGTGGTTATAGCACCAGCCATATACACTGAGGTTGGCAAGTTCGAACGTGGCCCAGGCCAACTAAACAACAATGACAACTGCAACAAAAAATAGTCAGGTGTTGTGGCAGGCACCTGTAGTTCCAGCTACTTGGGAGGGTGAGGCAAGAGAATCTCTTAAGCCCAGGAGTTTGAGGTTGCTGTGAGCTGTGATGCCATGGCACTCTACCAAGGGCGACATAGTAAGACTCTGTCTCCAGAAAAAAAGAAAGAAAGAAAGAAATTACAAGATGAAGTGAGTTTTATTCCATTTATCAAATAAAATAAATGTCCTTTTTGTTCTTCAAAAGACCTCATTAAAGGCCTCAATACTGATGTTAAAAATATTTAAAACTGCTTAGAAAAGAAACTCAAAAACTAAAATTGTGTTTAATATGTTTTATTGGTATACCAAAAGTTAATCCTTATAATAACTGAGTGGAATTGGTATAATTGCTATCCTCATGTTAAAAATTGAGGATTCCCTGGCTTGCACCTATAGCTCAGTGGCTAAGGTGCCAGCCACATACACAGGAGCTGGCAGGTTTGAACCTAACCGGGGGCCTGCCAAACAACTACAATGACAACTACAACCAAAAAGTAGCTGGGTGTTGTGGAGGGCGCCTGTAGTCCTAGCTACTTGAGAGGCTGAGGTAAGAGAATCGCTTAAGCTGAAGAGTTTGAGGTTGTTCTGAACTGTGATGCCACAGTACTCTACTGAGGGCAACTTAGTGAGACTCTGTCTCAAAAAAAAAAATTAAGAATCTGTGGCTTGAAGAAGTTGAGTAATTTGCCCAGGGTCACAAAGCTATTAAGTAACAGAGCTGGGGTTTTACCCAAGCAATTGATTTTAAGTCCATATACCACCCTATTCTGAGCTATAGAAACTCTGCTTTACCAAGTTCTCCCGAGCACAGGCAGCCACCCTCCCTGAAACACTCATGTTCCCTCCCTTTGAGAGTCTCATCAGGTCAGGCTCCTCTTTTTTTCTAGTTACTGCTTATCTTCTCTGCTCTGTTAACCAGACCCGAGCTAGTTTCTTCATTTAAACAAAATTATTGATCTCTAAGATATGGACTCTTTATCACTTTTGTGAAGTTCTATTTTGACTCTTTAGACTGTCCAGGTTTCAGATCCCTTCTTTGTTTTGGGCTTTCACCTCTAACCATTATCACTTCCTTTATATCCTTATTTCCCAGTCATTGGAAATCAACAAACCACATATGCACATAGGTCTCCAGGACTGGGGAAACATAACAGGGTCTAAGCAGTTGGGTTCAAGGTTAATCCCAGGTAGGTTGGTCCAAGTCAGGGCACACAGACAGTGAGATCCAGAAGAGCTATGAATCTTAGACAGACAACAAGCAGAGAGAGACACCAGAGGGTCAGTGGTCTCAACTTCCAGAGATGAGACCCTGCAGGCATTGCTTATGCTATTCCTTCTGTGGGGAAAGCATCCTATCTCCCCCCATCCAACCCAACTGCCCATGGTCACTTTCTGGGGAAAGGCTTTTTTGCCACTCCTGTCCCCCCTTCTGCATTCTAAGTAGTCCTGCTTCTGTTCCTACAGGAACTTCTGTGGATTTCAGTTATAGTGCTTTTCACACTGTGTTGTTAAGTTATGGCTTACATGTCTGTCCCATTAGACAATAGTTTTCTTTTTTCTTTTCTTTTTTTTTTTTTTTT